TGCAATATAACAAAGAGTGAAAAATTTAAGGGGGTCTGAATACTTTCCGTACCCACTGTACTCCAGCTTGTGGAAAAGCTACTTGTGATGAACTGATTTGTCATATTGCTGTCTCTTTTACCACCTGCATTATTGTGGTGGTTGTCAACATTTGTTAAAGACACAAAACAGATTTTAGTAGCAGTGTGCATTGTTGAATTTACTACTTTACACTCAAATTCTCTTGTTTGTAAATTACAGTTTATACTGTAAAATGTACAGTTTGTTCTGTAAATGTTTTTACAGTTTTTCTGTATTTTTTACAAAATTATTCTGGCAACCACAGCTGCCAAAATTATTTTGTTAAAACTACAGATTTTGTTTACAGTGTAGGCTATAATCGATTATGGTCTAGTACTGCATCGATGCAACGATTAATTTCAACACCCCTGATAGATAGATAGATAGATAGATAGATAGAGAGATAGATAGATAGATAGATAGATAGATAGATAGATAGATAGATAGATAGATAGATAGATAGATAGATAGATAGATAGATAGATAGATAGATAGATAGATAGATAGATAGATAGATAGATAGATTTTACATTTTACATTTTGATTTGGTTTAATTTTGTGTTGCTATTAAGGCTCATCATCAGAAGGGAACATCTACTGGAGGGCACCTTTAATCAAGTAATGGCCTACTCACGCAAAGAGCTCCAGAGAAACAAGCTCTTCATCACCTTTGTAGGGGAGGAAGGGTCAGTCGACTGTGTTCTCATTCACATGCATGCTATTGCCAGACATACAAACCTAAATTTGGAATCTTAACTGATCTAAAATGTTGCATTCACGTTCCCCATAGTTTGGATTACAGCGGCCCATCGCGGGAGTTCTTCTTCCTGTTGTCTCAGGAGCTGTTTAACCCCTACTACGGTCTGTTTGAGTACTCAGCCAATGACACGTATACGGTGCAGATCAGCCCCATGTCTGCATTTGTAGAGAACCATTTGGAATGGTGAGAGATCTTCCGTTTTCTACCTTACTATCTCTCTTTATCTCTAATTATTGCTGTTTGGAATGTTGGAATGTTTTTGAAGTTCAGCTTTGTAGTTCTCTGGTTGATGTGGCATGCGGTTGAGGAATCGCATGCCTTCTGGTCATAAGCGGTCACGCTACGTCTTTGTTTTGTCTCTTATTTCGGGATTTCGACTGCCTCTTGTTGAGTAAATTATAGAGTTACAAAACTAAATACAAAGACAAATTCTCAGCATTTTCCTTGAACTTCATCCAAGGAGAGGACACGTCTCGTGAACATCAGCTTTCAGATTCACAACTTTTAATTGAATTTAAATGCTGGCCAAAGTCACAATGTCTGACTTTCAAGCCCTATCCAGAAGGTAGAACATTTTAAAAGCCTATAATTGGTTCAAAAACAGGATCTGTGTTATATTGGAGCATGCACAGAATATTATGACATGGATAAATGTTTTGCTGGACCCTCACAGGTTCCGTTTCAGTGGCCGTATTTTGGGTCTGGCTCTGATCCACCAGTATCTGTTGGATGCTTTCTTCACTCGACCGTTCTACAAGGCCCTGCTCAGACTGTGAGTCTCAAAGCTTCTTTGCAGTGGAGATGACATCATAAAGTGAGTTTCGAATGATGGATTTTGATTGGATGTCTGTATTGTGTGGTCCATAGAGTGACAGATCTGAGTGATTTGGAATACCTGGATGAGGAGTTCCACCAGAGCTTACAGTGGATGAAGGACAACGATATCACGGATATCCTGGATCTGACTTTTACAGTCAACGAGGAGGTCTTCGGACAGGTGCTGGATAATTCAGAAACACCTTGAAGGAGGTTTTTTTAATCTATTATTTTGGTAATAGATTAATCGAACAATTACTAGACTGATTAATCGACTAGTCGTCAACTATTTCACAGATTAATCAGTAGGCTTTGATCAATTATTCAGCTTTTACAATGTTAAAATATTGAGTTATACATATTCTATACACATTCATACATATAGAGTTGCTTTATAGCAGAATATGAAGTTTTAATTATAACTGAAAGCAACACTGACACTGTTTTTTAATGGTAAATACTGTAAAGCTGCTTGCTTTTGTGTAAAGTGCTATATAAACAGGGGTGCACATAAGTCTTTCAGCCTGGTTCTCAAAAGAGCACATGGATATTTGGTTTGGTCCTCACACTGCACATAGTGTGACCCATTAAATATAACTATAAAAAAATAATAATAGTGATAATAATATTATTGCACTTTATAAAAAAATAAAAAAAAGTAAATAAACAAAATAATAAAGTGTGATAATACTATTATATTTTAATATAAAAAGGGAGTATTAAATAAAAAATACAATATTATTGGGGGGTAAACTTAAATACAAAATGATAATATTGACTTTTTTATATATGAATTTTCATCATTTTCAAACTTAAAATCAGCAAGCTTTTATTTTGACGGGTTGCCGGCAAGTAAGTATATGCGCTGCCGAGTGAAGAGCAGTTTTGCAGTTTTGCATTGTGCTTTGCATTATCCGGCAGCGGATAACCTAGCTTTATGCTTTCAGTTCGAATAGAAATCTTATAAGGTAACACATTTTGTCGATCTAAAATTGTAATTGTGCATTTGCAGCTGTCAACCATGTCGGTATGCAAATGAGCGATCTGAACTTATTTACACAGTGCAATTTTTATTTTGGTCGCACATCCGCACCTGCGTACCACATATGTGCGCCCCTGTATATAAATAAACATAATGTGACTGCAGAGCTGCTTCAAACATATCCACATCGCTATGATCAGATGCTTTATTAACTGCTGTTTTCCCACGCTGTCATTTTTTGTTTATTTTGTTACTGAGGGGAAAGCATGCAGCATGCTTACATATTCATCTAAATGCCGCTCTCAGTAGATTCGAGGTGTTCGCAAACAGTAAACCCCTGCTTGCGTATATCAAACTTCTTTTTACCCCTAACAGAAGAACGAAAAATAACTTTGCCATCAGTATATCATAGCCGTACAAATGACAACATTTTTTGTTTGCATTTTTATAAAACTTTCCCACACTCTACTGGTTCATCTTCATTTGCACGTCTCATAAGCATGTTTATTTCTATTAGGTTACATCCAGGAGGGCTGAATTACAGTCTTGCTCTACAGCGCCACAAACTGGTCAAACTGCGTTATTGCAGGCCCTTACATTAGGTCATATGAGATCAAACGACTATTCGACAACAAAAATATTTGTCGTTGTTGACGTTGTCGATAATGTCGACTAATCGTTTCAGCCCTAGTGTCTTAACAAAATACCAACAATAATAATGATCAATGATTAAGAAAATTGATGCTCAGGCATTACATATAGCAAGCCAAACCTGTTTACCAGTTTTCCACATTGTACTAAATGTTGGAAAAGTTGGCACGTCGGGGTCACCAATGCAAACCAAGCCACGCTGTTTACACCAGTGTTTCTCAATTCCATTGCAACCACAACCACAATGGGAGCTCCAGGACCAGAGTTGGGAAACACTGGTTTACACTCGGGAGATCAACTCATCAATGGTTTACCTCAGGGGTGTCCAATCCTGCTCCTGGAGGGCCACCGTCCTGCAGAGTTTAGCTCCAACCTCAGTTAAACCCACCTGAACTAGCTAATCAGTGTCTTCAGGATCACTAGAAACTTCCAGGCAGGTGTGTTAGGATAAGTTAGATCTAAACTCTACAGAACGTTAGCCCTTTAGAAGCAGATTTGGACACGCCTGGCTTGGGATAAATATTTTAACATTACACACAACAACAAAAAAGTGGCTCAGGATGAATCCATGCTTTTTTAGGTGCCATGTTACTAATAATTGCAAACATTCTGGTGCGACAAAGGTTTGTACCAACCCTTAAAACTTTTCATGTCATTTGCAGGTGATAGAAAGGGAACTGAAGTCGGGAGGCTCCAATATCCAAGTGACGGAGAAGAACAAGAAGGAATACATTGAGCGCATGGCTAGATGGAGGGTGGAGAGGGGAGTTATGCAGCAGACCGAAGCCCTTGTAAGAGGTTTCTATGAGGTACGTTAGCTTGAATAGCAGTTTCACTAACACAACGGTTTAGTTAAACAATTACTTACTAATCCGATTCAGGTGATTTGAATGTCATATATAAACTGTTCCTTTACAATGCAGGTCGTAGACTCCCGCCTGGTTTCAGTGTTCGATGCTCGTGAGCTGGAGTTGGTCATTGCAGGGACGGCCGAGATCGATTTGAACGACTGGAGATCCAATACAGAATATAGAGGGGGTGAGCGAATGCTTGCTTTGTCTTTAAAAATTAATGGCAGCTGCTGGGTAATATTGTCAATTTTGCTGCAAAAACGATCAATGAATCATTCATTACTGAAGAGAAATGCTCAAGTGGTCTTCATCAGTGAGTAGAAGCTTGATTGTTCAGGCTAGCATTTGTTCCATGTGGAGTGGTCTCACTTTTCTTTCAGGTCCTCTGCTGTGAATTACTATGGAGGGTCTACAGGATTGTATCCCACAGCTAATGCCAAAACAAGTATCCCATCTGTTTAGATTGCAGTTCATAACACTGAAAGCGTGACCCCTGTAGAATTTCATATAACCCTGTGTGGTTGTGGTTTCACGGTGTCGAGATAACCTCGGTTGAATCTCTGGAGTCTTCTGTTGACTTTTCCTGTACAGCCTATGCACATTCAGATACGCATTTTCTTTTCTTCTTATACTTTAGCTACTTTAAATAAGCTTGTTACCTGCTCCCGATTGGCCACTTTCCTGCAAAGTTTAGCTCCAGCTTCAATAAAACACACCTGAACCAGCTAATCAAAGGGGGCTTTGGCACTGGAGGAACGTTTTCATAGTTCCTATATTGTAACTCTTGGTGGAAGTACCTGCATTTTGACTTGTTTGCACCACATGAACTGGGAATGATTTTAGTTATAAGAATGCTTTTTGGGGGGACTAAATTAGCCCCTACTTTAGAGTAGGGTCTAACCCAACACAATAGAAACTACCAGTGATGTAAGTGAATGTTGGTTGGCTGAAGGCATGCCATACTAAAAACCGGCACCTGCCATTTTTAAAAAGCCATGTAAACACAGAGTTTACATAAACTTACTCCAGAAACTAACTCCATGAACATGAAAAACAGCAATAGATGGATCGACGCCGAAGTCCAGGCATTTCTCCATCCTTCATCCTTCAGTTGTTGACGTTGTTACCATGCTTGTTGGCTGGCTTACGTCACTTCAATGTTCCTAATTCCGGTGCAAATGCAACCAGGAATAAGGCCCTAGGGGAAAATTTAGATCTCGGGGACTGCCCTGGTGGCTAGTTCCTATAAACGAGTTCCTATAACTACCCGGTGCGAAAGCCCCTAAGATCTCGAGGATCACTAGGACTTTGTCTGAAATCACCCCCTTTATAGTGCACTTTTTGAGGGTTCAGTCATTTGTAGTAGCGTCTGAAACCATATAGAGTGCACTTATTCAATCCTATAATGCACTTCAATAACGAATGTACAACTGTGCACTGTAGAGTTGATTCTGAATTGATTCCTGCAAAGATGCCATCCACAGTGCTTTTTGTTCGCTTGTTTTCATTCACTCATTCAGTGTATTAAAGTGAAGTAATGTAGGGAACAGTGAATGAGGGAATAGGGGGCGAACCTAGAAACTTCCCGGCAGGTGTGTTGGAGTTAAACTCTGCGAGAAAGTGTCCTTCCCGGAGCAAGATTGGACATATTCCTGCTCTGTTGGAATCTCTTCTGCACTTCTCCTGAGGAGTTAGGACGCTACCTTAGAAATTAGCTGTCTGTGTAGGCAGTCGACAGCTTTCTATGTTTTAGACAGAGCCTCATAATGCACTGAACATCCACATGTTCGTGTTTAATTTCACAAGTCTCCTCATCACCCTCCAGGTTACCATGATGGGCACGTTGTGATTCGTTGTTTCTGGGATGCGGTGGAGCGCTTCAATAATGAGCAGAGGTTGCGCTTGCTGCAGTTCGTGACGGGAACGTCCAGTGTCCCCTACGAGGGTTTCGCAGTGCTCCGTGGGAGCAACGGCCTGCGGCGCTTCTGCATTGAAAAGTGGGGAAAGATTACCTCTCTACCAAGGTATACTGTTATAGATAACACTCTTTCTGCCTGCAGAATCACACATATCCCAAAGTAATGCTAAACACAGCTTTATATAACTCTTGATGACTTTTTAGTACTTGAGGAAGGCTAATTCATCAAGAGGGAAAGCTCTATGCTAGCTGAGGTAGAACAATGTATCCAATTTTCCAAGGATTTATTAGTATTTGTCTTTTTTTTTTTTTTTTTTTTTTTTTAATGAATATAGTTTATTTTTTTTAATTAATTTAAATTTCTGTTTTAGTTCTAGCTATTTTAGTACATCAGGTTTAACTAAATCAGGTGTTGCCTTGGCAACTGGCTGAATATACAGTATGTATGTATATATATACACTGTATATGTGTGTGTGTGTGTGTGTGTGTGTGTGTGTGTGTGTGTGCGTGCGTGCGTGTGTGTGTGTGTGTGTGGTAGTTTTAGTTAACTCTAATAACCCTGAAAAGACCCAATAAAACTGACAAATTAGCACAGTTTTCTTTTGTTGGCATATGTTTGTGTGTGTGTGTGTGTGTGTGTGTGTGTGTGTGTGCGTGCGTGCGTGTGTGTGTGTGTGTGTGGTAGTTTTAGTTAACTCTAATAACCCTGAAAAGACCCAATAAAACTGACAAATTAGCACAGTTTTCTTTTGTTGGCACTTCCTCCTGAAACAGGAAGCTGGTGTGGAGCAGGACTCAGTAGCTTTAGTTTAGCCTTGCTAAACCATGAACGGCTAGTTGCTAATGCTAGTCACTGAAAGATGCTATTAGGAGGAGGGGATATTCTCATTCTAGAGAAAAAAGTGTGATGTTATGAATATTTTTGGTGCATTTTCCCTAGAGAGGATATTTTAAATGTGCATATATTGCTGAAAGTTTGTTTTGTCAACTTTTTGGAGCACATTACCATATAGATGGCTTGCATATGTGCTAGATTAGAGATGCTACACAGAAAGACTCAGGATCTCAAAGACCTGGGCTGAATATTAAAAACCAAAGGATTTTCTCTACCATTACACATTCATTTCATATTGCTCATGGTTTATATTTCATATAATTAATATTATGTCTCATTTTATGAACAATCATGAGATTGAAGCAGGGCTTTGAGATCCTTACATTTCAATTTATATTTGATATCAAAACAGTCATGAAATGAAAAACACAGAGTGCAAAACGCAGAAATAATGGATGTATTTAGGACAACCCAAGCAGATACTTTGTGTGAAGCTTGTTCAAATACTGTTTTGTTTACCTGCCATGGTTCTTCCACACTGTGCAATTCAATCACAACAGCAAAGAAACCGCCTTACTGTTTAGACTTGTAAATAAAGCTACCCGAGATGTGTCATCCTGAAAACCAACTGTTAGACTCAGAAGCTCAATTTGCATCCAGTGGTTCACCTTGAAAATCATTTCTCTCTGTTCTGGCAAACAGAAGGGGCTGCGGATCAAAGCCTGGCGCTGTCAGCACTAAAGTACAGGCTCATATTTCTCTGTCAGGGTGAGAACGGCTCGGAGTTTGTCATTGTGTGTGCACAGCATCAGCAGCCAGAGCTAAATAAGGCCAATGTGATGGAAAGGATACAGATGCCTCACTCAGATACAGAATTTCACATGCTCTGCTGGGGAAAGCTGCACTTTACAGCAAAGTGGCTCACAGAAGTGTAGAGCTCGTCTCACCTATTTAGTCAGAGGCCATGATAGAAGCTCCCTCTTGACCTTTGACCTCTGTATTTTCGTCTGCTGCAGGGCGCACACATGCTTCAACCGTCTGGATCTGCCTCCCTATCCGTCGTACCCTGTGCTGTATGAGAAACTTCTCACCGCTGTGGAGGAGACCAGCACCTTTGGTCTGGAGTGAAGAAGTGAGACTTGATTTTAAATTTTTTTTTTTTACTGCGAAAACATTTTCAATAACTCAGTCCATGAGAGACTTTTTAAACTTCATCTGAGAATTTTGTTTAAAATAACTTGAAATAGCATGTTTCTGCACTAAAATCTAAGATATGTAGTACTTTGTGGGAGTGTGGGGTCAGAAGCATCATGTATGCAATAATGAAAACCTTGCTGCAGCCTATTGCATCCTACTCATGTTTGTCCTTGGCATCATGCTATTGGTTAGGCATCAGTACATCTCCTTTCTGATTGGATATTCCCTAAAAACGTGGTAAAGTGTAATTTTCAACACCTGGCTATGTTTGAAACGGAATACTAACATATTGCTTACTGAATACTGCACAGTATATACTGTACTTAATACTGCCCACATTTAAAGTTCTGTAGTATGTGAACCATATGTAACAAATGAACACTTCCAAGTGCAGTATGCAATGTAGTTGTCACACGACCTCATTACATTGCATGTTTAAAAATTATGTGTCGCCCACTTTTCATATCAGAAATAAAAGTTGTTTTGCATTTTAATGTGTGAATGATCACATAATAAGTCTAGTTTTGGTATTGCATTAAGTAGGCACATTGCATTATGGGATACAATACTCTAGATATGTAAAACATCATCTAGGTATTGTGTGCATACAGATAACATTTATGCTGTGCATGTTATGAATACTGCATAAATAGTATGAATAGTATGCTAGTATGCTATTCTGAACATAGCCGCTGAGCAAACCTGAGTTTAGGAGGGATAAATTAACAACACATTTTCATTTTTGGGTGAACGGTCCCTTTAAATCAAAATCAAAGTTTAAAAATTAATGCACATGTCATCGGCTGAACTCCAAACCACAGCAACTGTTTGCCTTTACATGATTCCGATTAACTGTTTTGCCTGATTTAATCACGTGGCTCAAATACTGTTGATAATGTCATTAAAAACGGATTATGTTTTTGGAGCAGAAATGGTTAAACTCAAGTTTGTCACCTCACTCTCACTAATATGAGCTCAAGCTTTAGGTAGGAAGCACACTTGGAAGCTCACTTGATAGTGATGTAAGCCACTTCATTGTGTAACCAAATTAGTGACACTAACACTGAGCTCATCAGAACTTTCTGCCAGCAGCATCCATGTGGCTACGTTAGAGATAACTCTCTAACTGTTTAAACAATGCTTCTTAAAGCCAAAGCTGTTTTAGGTCACAGGGATGAGCTGCATTTAATAATGACACTGGCAATGGCACGATATTGGATTCATTCCCAGATTGGCATAAGTCCTCTTTTTCCCAGACATGTCCTGGATGGATTTTTCTAAATTGCCTACAATGTCTGGGTTTTGGCTTTATTTTCCTATTGACAATCTCTCTACAGTCCTCATACATTATATGTATGTATATTTGCATTGCTTTGACTGTTGTCTGTAGATCCCGCCTTCTTGCACACTACGATTGGTTGATACGTACAATGCCTGCATGCTATTGGTCAAACCACTTTTCAGTCATTGCCCTCAGCAAGTGTGAAAAAAAATATGAAAACAAAGCCAAAATGGACATTTTAGGCAATTTAGAAGTCAAGGGGGGAAAAAGGACGTATATCACCCTACTTGGTATAATGTGATTTGTTGTAAATTTGTGGGCGTTGCCACGGATAATCCACCTTGTATATTATACGTATGTCTTTATTAATTAAAATACATCTTTTTAAATAATTTATTTGTTTAATTTATTGATGCACATCTTCCATAGCGACAGTCACACAAATATGAGTTGGTTTGTCGCTCGTATCTGTAAAACTGTAAATGCAAACAGGCTTTGTCTTCTAATATTAATACAATTACTGTTCATAACCACAGATGACAAAACCAGATGCCCAGATTTTTTTATTATTCAGTATGAAATATCTTAAGTGGTGCTTTTATGTCTTTATATTTGTATTTTTTGTTGGCCAAACGCCTCTCACCTCACCATCAAAAGAGAACTAGTTCATGGATGGATCTTCACTGATGTTTAGCCAGGCCATCATTTAATGCATGCAGGCTCTTATGATGGTGTTTATCACTGTGTTGCATTTATTGTTTATTATTCCCCGGGGAATAAACATGCTCCCGATGACTCTGAACGTTTTTTGGAAGGATGTCAACTCAAGGTTGTTTTATTTATCACTGACAGAACTTGTGAAATGACTATCTGACCATTTGCTGTACACTGTTCAGTTGATGATGATATAATGTATTTTTATCATTTTTATTTGTTGGCAGTTTTGTATTTTATATTCCTTTTGTATATGAGTTCAAGATAATGTGGCAAAAAATGAAATTGCATATGAAAACCCTTTACTTGCGATGCAAACTGATGCAGATGTTAATGAAAATACACGTGTAAATATAATTATGAACATAAATTACTCTACATCAGCCTAATGTTCTGATGTCCATCTGTTCTACATGAACAGACTTTGCTTTTCCCCAAATCCTTGTACATAAATGTCAATAAACAATCTCTTTGTAGTAGGTTGTATTAATTATGTTCACTTACTAAATATGGGGTTCACACACATTCATAAACACAAAAGTTCACTCTCAGCCTTACACAGTCCAAACACTAGAGGGCCTCAGAAGAATCTCTTCAATATGTGTGTGAATGTTTTGCTTCTCATGGGGAGATAAAAATATTTAAATATGCCCAGAATAAGAGCAGTCTTATAATAATAATAATAATAATAATAATAATAATAATCAGAAAAGGGACACTCTTATTTTATTGTAATCAGGGCTATATATATATATATATATATATATATATAATAAAAATTATATTTATCATTATAGGTAAATGTTTATGTTAAATATAAATGCAAATCACAGAGGATAATAGTCTTTGGGTGTCTAAAGGTCCCGTAAACATTAAACGATTCCATTGTCATTCCATCTCAAATATATAATTATTTAATTAATTAATTGGTCACCTTTTATTGGTCAAATGTCACCGTCAAGGACCACCTCCTCCCGCCCACCGCCCTGGCAACTGAAGTCTGAGGAACAGCTTGAGCTTGGCTTTCAGTTGCGTCGGTGCGGATGACAGCAGACGAGTCGAGGAGAGCAGCAGTCAAACTCAAGCGCTTTTTTTTAATCGAAGATGAAAACAGTTCATATTTTAGACACGTTTAAATGTTGTTAATGTCAAGTAAAAATTCAGCGAGAGGTGAGGTAGCGTGATAGTATTCGTCGCACGGTATCTGCTCACCTGCAGGTAAAAGCGGCTGTAGGTACAGCAATAAAACGAATTGACGTTAATAGCAGCCGTTATGACTCCTGAGTGTCCCGAGCCCAGAAGCCGCATTCGGTGTGAATCCGGTCAGAACCGCTCCGGTTTGCTGCGCGAGATCCGGACCGCCGTCAGGAGCGAGCCGTTCACCGAGCGCTATGACGTCATCCCCGGCAAAGAGCTGGGCAGGTGAGGCGCACCTTTACCTTTGTGTGTGTGTCAGCTGTACCGCGCGTTTTTATGTCTTATTTATCTTATGCATGTGCTTCATATGCGTTGTGTGTATGTGCCGTGCACTCTGAATCGGTTTGGATTTAAAAAAGTACTAATTTTGAAGTCTTGCCATATGTTTTGTCTTTTAATAAGTGCTGTGGTCAAAGTAAAGCATGCTTAGTAAATGTTTTGGCATGTTATATCCTACTTGTATTAACGTGCATTGTGCATTGAACGTTTATACATTCAAGGCTCCCTGTGCGTTATTATATGGATCTGCATTCTTATATATGGATATTGCATGCATTTATTGCTTGCAGTTCAATACATGTGCAGGATTTAGTCACGCATCACAGTATTTTGAACATCTGCACTGCTTCAGAGTGTAATTCGGCATTGCTTTGTCATTTAGATGGCTTGCATTGATGCATTTTACATGGATCAGTTCAAGATAATGTGTAAAAAGTCATGAAAACCCTTTACTTGCAATGCAAACTGATTCAGTTGTTAATGAAAATAAATATATTGTAATTAATAATGTTCATAAATACATATCAGCCTAATTTTCTGATCTCCATCTGCTCTATATGAACAGACTCCGCTTTTCCCCAAATCGTTGTGGATAGTGCATGCATTTATCGCTTACACTGCGTACAGTTCAGTCAGTTTAAGTCATGCATCACAGTTTTTAACATCTACACTGCTTTAAAGTGTGATTTGGCATTGCTTTGTCTTTCAGATGGCTTTCAGATACATGGATATGGACATTTAATGAAACACCCAATAAACTTTTGCATGCAGTGCATTAAAGCTGGATCACATGATTGGAAAACCGAGCCGTTTGATGGCACACTGTGTTGATGCCAGGGCTCAGTGGTTTTTAAATCAGCGAGCCTTTGCCAAGCCTCTGTAGGACTTGAGCACTATGAAAACATTGCTCTGATTTCACTGCGCTTACTCTTGTTTGTACCGAGGATATGCAGTGCACACACAAAAAGATTTGGGCTTGTGTAGCATTTTACGCCTGTGCAAAACTAGCAGAAAAGTCACTTTTATGTGTCCAATATCAACAAAGTGCTGGTTGAGATGATGAATAGGGACATTTAGCTTTTGCATGATGGACCAAAGTTTGAACTCCAGTTGAACACTTGTAAAGTACAAGTTACAATAGAGTGTCTTTTTTTTTTAATGGTTTATTATCTGACAGCCCACACGGCTGTATTAGTCACAAGACAAACTCTCAGACATGTAATATCAGCAGGCTATCTGATCCGTTTGTTTGCAAAACACATCAAGATTAATGGGCAGAGGTTTGAAAGTGCAACTATCTGGATGTTTGCCACCACCGTTTAGACCAAGCCATTTCATCTGAGTACAATAAAGCAAGAGAAAAGACAAATCAGTGACTAGTTCATGTCCAGCATGTCTCAGCCCGTTTCCCAAAGGTGAACTTGAATGGCTCAGGATTTCAGGGATGTGATTGGCTGCTCCAGCTGGTTTTATTTTGATGCCTGTGCTTGTGGAGATGAACCATTTTCAGTCTTCAGTGAGCGATTTCAGTGAGTTATGATTCTGATTTCCATTCTGAGAATCACATTAGCCTAGATATTGCCATTTATAGTCTAGTTAGCCCAAGTATATGTAGTCTTATTTCTCACAAGAGTCAAGACTATTGGTATTTGATTATCACTGACCGTTTCGAGAGTAGTTTTATTTAGACCAGATGTTTGTTTAGAGTATTTTTTTGTTAGAAATTGCACATGGCAAATATTTGCGTCCGTTTATTTAATGTAGCGCAATGCTGGAAATAGTCTAGATTACAGAATGGACTAACAGGTTTAGACTGACAGGTTTTAAGAGTGGCAAAAATGTTGAACTTGTAAAGAGCTACAGGCATCATTCATAAAACCTCACATAAGTGAGGAACGAATCAGGATTAGGAAAGGCAGAGACTCCTAATGATTTTTTTTATAACAGATTTGGAGAAATGTAGCACTGCATCAGTGTGTCAGCAATGGATGCTCTGCAGTGAATGGGTGCCGTCAGAATGAGAGTCTGATAAAAACAGCACAGTAATCCACAAGTAATCCACAGCACTCCAGTCCATCAGTTAACATCTGGAGAAGACAAAAGCTGAAACAAATCCAGCATTAAGACATTTTTAACCAAAATACGAGTCCATAATCCATAATAACTCTTCCTCCAGTGAAAAAGTGTTCTGGTCTGAATCAGGAGAGAAATCTAAACAGATCAAGCAGCATTTAAACGGCTCTAAACAAATGTGTGGCTGGAAGCGTTATTATGGATTATGGACTCGTATTTTGGTTAAAAATGTCTTAATGCTGGATTTGTTTCAGCTTTTGTCTTCTCCAGATGTTAACTGATGGACTGGAGTGCTGTGGATTACTTGTGGATTATTGTGATGTTTTTATCAGCTGTTTGGACTCTCATTCTGACGGCACCCATTCACTGCAGAGCATCCATTGCTGA